GACTATGGCAGTCTAGGACAGACATTTGTACATGATTGCATTCCAATCCAAGCAAAGAAAAAGTATAGGTACTACAATTAGCCACTTTCTGTGGGCTAAAAGGAAGAAAGTGAAATTTATTGCTGCAATTCATTTCTCCTCCAGTTTTGAGTTAATTATATTGATAGAGAAAGAGATGTTTCCTTCAGCTGTCTACACTTATTTCTTCCCACTTATAACAAACAGGCCATTATTTCTTGCATTCGACTAAGAGATTGATTGCAGTATTGTGAGCTGCTGACCAGTTGATATGCTTACCTGTCCATGGAAAAACTTGCAAACATCACACCATCAGATTGTTACATTCAGGGTAAACTAAGCCAAGTTTATTTGCAAGCAGGATAATTATACCAAATCTGAGTCATTTTAAGAACTTCTTCAAATTAAGAACAAAAGCTTTCATTAAACTAAACAGAAGCTCATCAAAATATTGAATAAATCAGTGCTGAGTATAATTGGTTGTTTTCAGTACCTGAGATGTGATCATTTGAAGATTCAAGTATTGGCAAGTTGAATAATCTCTTGGCCATATGTTATTCCATTTGTTTAAGACAAATCCGTAACTAGAAAGTACAGTTGTATTGGCAGAAAATCAATAGGCTCCAACTACTGAGTTCTGAGGAAGTGTCACCGGACCTGAAACATTAACTCTGACTTTTTCTTCACAGATGCTGCCAGACCTGCTGAGCTTTTCCAGCAACTTCATTTTTTTGTTCCTGATTTACAGCATCCACAGTTCTATCGGTTTTTACTTAGGCTACAACCACTGTCTGGCTTTCATTGTCAGAAGTTGCACAACACCAGGTTATGGTCCAACAAGCATATTTGAAATCACAAGCTTTCTGATGAAGGGTCTAGGCCCAAAACGTCAGCCTTCCTGCTCCTATGATGCTGCTTGGCCTGCTGTGTTCATCCAGCTCTACACCTTGTTATCTCTTCTTTCAGAGAGCTGCTTCTTTTTCACTTCACCTACGAAGGAGCAGTGCTTTGAAAGCTTGTGATTTCAAATAAACCTGTTGGATTATAACCTGGTGTTGTCCAACCTCTGATGTCGTCCATCCCAATCCAACACTGGTACCTCCTCATCATGGCTTTTACTGCAAGCTGGAAGCTAGTTAAGTACAGAAAATGGATTTTCTCTTAGTTTTTCAGAATGTTGCGGCAAAAGAGTTATCTTTTCTAGTTCTTGTATATTTTTGCCAGGGTTTTTAAACAATAAAGATCCTAAAGATTCAGATATTAGGGCAAATGAACTAAAACAAATTTCAGAATTACATGGTTGCAGTGTATTTGTAATTGATGTGGCAATGCTTATTTTGTCCCTTGTAACACATGTGGCTGGGTGAGTATCAGGCTATTTGGTTACAAGGAGCAGTATATTTTCATCAGCATGTCATGCTTTAAGTGGCCTGAATTAAAATGGAGTCTGAAGCCTTCGTACCCTCACTGTTGCATGCTATAACACACTAATGATGTCATATGCATGACTCCTAAAGGTGTACTGACATAGTATGTCTCTTAAACGTTTGCTGACTGTGAGGCATGACACAATAACAGGATGGTCCTGAAGTCAACCGATAGGAGTTGGTTAGCATGAGACTTCAAGAGCAACAATGGTGTAGGCAGATAAAAGGGCAGCCTGACTCCCTGCTAGTTGAACAGTTCTAAGGTCTTATTAAGGATAATACATGGTGAGTGCACTGAGCAAGGTCAAAGGCTCCTGAGTCCCATCTGCAAACATCATGATGTGCTGCTCATATCAGTTATCATACATACTTCCTGACAATGTGCAGATATTCTTTACAATGTTCAACTCAACAGCAAGGGCATTCTCACTTTGATGTAAGGTATGTGTTGTTTATAAATATAATTTATTTTAGAAGTTGAATTTTGAAATAAACCCCCTACTAGTATGAAGAAGTTAATGATCAACATTTTAAGTATTTCTGGAGCCTTTTTTTGTTAAACTACTATGACAGATGGAGTCTCTGGTATGAAATTGGGAATTTGCATTATAAGAATTTTACAACTGGACAGAGTAACCATTTAAAAGAAAAGCTTGTGTTTGGTTTAGAAGGGCCAAGAATCGATTATCTTGTTTGGGTAAAAAAGAAACCACAGATTCAGAAATTTTGGTATTATTTTCCACATGTCCATATTAAAGTTGTATGTAAGAACTGTTTCTCTTGGAGTTAAACAGTTAGTTTAGAACAGTTAAAGAATAGATTACCTCAGTTTAAGAATTTTAGCTTGAAATTCCACACCAAAAGTGTCTGAATATTTGAAGCTGAGAAAGTCTAAGCTTAGTTGTACAGATAAACAAGGATGAGTTATCAAACTTCATGCTCATTCTCAGTCTACAGAAGATTAAGCATCTTTCTGAAGGATCCTCCCCACCTCACCTCCCTCCTGGCTCGCAGTTGGGGAAAAGAATGCTTTATCATCTGCAAAGAAGGAAGGCCATTACATTGGATGGGGTCGCTGTGCCTGGCAGCAGTGGTGGCTGTAGTTGTTGAGAGACCAGCCTTGTCACAATTCCATTACGTCTTTGGAGCATTCCTTAGGTGCAATCAACTACAAAGAGGAGAAATTGAGATATGTCATGATTAAACCTCCCATCTGCTTTGGATGTTTCCATCCTTCAATGCTTTTGCAAGATAGTCTTTCAAATGCCTGAGATTGATTGATTTGAAGGAGAGACACAGGAAGACAGTATAGTTGACCAAGCTCACTAACTCCAGGGATACAGAGACGAGGTCCTTTCCTTTAGCTTGTTTGTATCCATTAAAGCTGTGCTGTAGATATGCCAGGCTACTGTTGTTCTCAAAACCCCTTTCCAGCACTTTAAAAATCCTTTCTCGCTTATTGGAACATTTCTACTTCTTCCCATTGTTCACTAATAAACATTACCCCATAAATGTTTACCACAAATGTTGTTGGCTTACTCACATTGAGATCCCTGGGCACTAGTAGCAGATGATATTCCCCTTAAGCTGCATGGCTATGTGAAAAAAAACAATAGAGAGAACAGAGAAAGCAGATGGCTTGATGCCACAATGGTCTGTTGTTATTATCTTAGCTGATGCTACTGCTGAAGAAGTCAGATCACAGACTGAAATATGACTCGTCTGATTATATTCTTTTCTAATTAACAAGGTGGTCATTCACTGAAACAGGCACACAAGTATGCAGATTTTCTTTAACAATAAAACAAAAGATAATTGCCCAAAATTAAAAAAAATAAAATAAACCAAGCTTGCTGAATATAGAACATGGTTGAAACTTCTTATATGGCAAAGCAGTCTCACTTAATCCCCAACAACGTCATTATTTAGTGTTTCAATCAACAGCAAATCCTTTGGTTTGCTTCTTCCCCATTCCATATTGTGAACTACGAAGTCTTCTTCCATGAATACTCACTTTCTCAATCTTTTAATAACTTTCAGAATTCTAAGTAAACACTCCTGATTTAGAAGTGTTGCATGATAAAATATTATACCAAGGTAACTGCATGTACCATGAACTGCACTATTCCCTTTTCTTGGAAAGAAACTATATATTTGCTTCTGATCCTTGTCAAGTGTTCTTCCATAATGCCCTAAAAACTTTCAATTGCTTTTTTTTTAATGCTAAATGCAATCCTTAATTATTCTAACCCAACAGCAAGATAATGCCTTTCAATGTTTACTTCCGGTGTCATAGACCTGACATCATCAATAATCTTCCATGAGCACTCTGGTATAGTTGCCTGACACAAAATCAGAAATTGCTGGAGAAGCTCAGCAGGTCTGTTAGCAACAGTGGAGAGAAAGCAAAGTCATTGTTTCAGGTGAATGGCCTTTCTTCAGGTTGCTGTCTGACACATACTGGATTCGATCATTGTTCCAATGTTCTTCACCTTGTGTTTTTTTTACATAAAGTCTTCTTGAAAGGAATCAACATCCATATGTCACTAGGTTGAAATCCTAACTCTAAAGAGATTAATATATGTGAATACAAATCACACATCTATCATCACTCTGTAAATAGGTCTGGAAATGAAACATGGGAGTGGGAATGGGTGATAGTGAGATGGTGTGAACTGTGGATCTGTGGAGCCTGAAATATTTATGAAGCCACAAAAAAAATGAATTGGAAAAAATTTTGGCATCAGTCTTTGAGGGTCACTTGCTGGGATGCACAATTCACCCACTTGTCCCTTGAGATTTTAATTGGGGATTAATTGCATCACAGTCACTTGATTTGATTAGAACATTGCTAACTGTCTGAAATAGCTGGACAATCAGCAACACATTGTAATGCCCCAAATAAATATTGGCAGTCAGAGGATTATCAGCAAGACAGCAATAAGTCGAGCAATTTCACTTTGAAACAGTTATTATACCATTAATGCTGGTTTTGAAAAATAGAATAGAGGCCAATGTATAAAGGATAAGTACAAAGCTGGAGATCAAAATTCTTATAAATAAATTATACAATCACTTGATATAATTCTCCCATATTGAAGGATGGCAAGAAAGGGCAACCTATACTTAGCAACGTCACTTGAAATGTTGAAAAATGATCACTTGTTTTAAAAGGTAATATAGGAGTATTGCTCCAGGACAAAACTTCCACTTAAGATTCTGACACTGCTGTGTCAAGGTTCATTCCATATCATTCCTAGAGGAAGAGTCAATAAAAAGATAGCAATATTTGGAAATGATGAACTGGAGCTCCATTTTAAAGCATTGGTAAGGTCATACCAGTATGTCACATTCACAGGTTTTACTGCTCTTTTTTTGAAGTCATGCTACCAAGGGAGAGCCCCAATGGAAATAACTTCAATTCATATTAAGTTAAGACGTTCCAAACTTTAGAAGTTTTGATGGCATTGTAATTTTTCATTGTACATTAAATCAATTGAAATTTCATGATTACCAAAAACTACTGGAACAAATCTAAAATAGCATTTAACTCTTTTACAATGGACACACATATGAAAGAAACACATCTACTTCATTCTTTATAATGATCCTCCTGGGGTGTAATTCATGAGGCAGGTAATGTGCTAGCGTCATCTCCCAGGCATCTACAAATGCCACTTTGATGCCCTCAAACATCTTTCTCATCACTAAGTCAAGTTGATAGGAATACCAGTCACTGTTGTAGAGACTGACTTCCCGTGGAAGGGCCTGGACATTGGCAGTTTTTATTACAACCACTGTATCTGGGCTCCTTCCCAGCAATCGTAGAATTGACTTGCGGACATTCTGGAGCCTTCGGATGTATGGTTCAACTGGAAAAGTGTTGAAATGACACCAAATGGTGAAGGCTATAACAGTGTTCTTTCCACCTTTAATATCATCCAGTTTATTTGCGATGAATGGTAGGTCCTGATTTGAAATGGGGAAGATTCGAATCGGTGGGCCATGAGCATAATATTCCACCTTGATCTTGTTGTCTATATCCAAAGCAAGATGTGGGCCAGTATTTTTAGAATTGCCAAGATCAAACTTCCTCAGACCTAAAACAATACAGTACAATTAATGTCACATTATCAAAATGGATTTCATATATTCCAGTCACACCAGCCCACCCCAATCAATCTTCATTCATTGATGCTAGATGCCCCACACCATACTGCATCATTATATTATCACAAGCATTAATCCTGGTATTTTTCACTGAACACAGAAATGTCTTTACAACCATAAAGTGGAATATCTAGCTCAACTTGTTTTAAACAAATCATCTTTTTTTGATACATTCATATGATGGAGCACATATATGCTGTGCTTTCATTGACTATCTTCATTGAGAAGTCATAGCTTTGTTCTCTTCATTTCCCTTCACTGATGGATTTGCAAGCAATTCTGTACAACCTCCATCAGTTCAGTCAAGGCAAATAAGTAACATCATTCTTAGGATGCCTACTTTCTATATTTATTAGAGAATTTATAAGACAGTTTTTGTTTCATTTGATCCTGAAGATCTGTATGAATTCATCTTGTCATTTATTGTGATATACACAAGGTGAGAAGTAGATGCTTTCCCAAATTTACCTTCAATTCAGACTTTCCACATGGCTTTTGGGAGTTTGCTCTGTAATCTATTATAAGGAGATCATAAGGAAAGTTTCTAAGATCCTCTTTAATGCCCTTTACACACCCCTTAAGTTAATTCACTTCTAAAGATGAGTCTATTGAAAACTTCAAACTTAATTTTTTCTGTACATTAGCTTTACGTTATACCTTTTACTATACAACAGTAGTGCAATTTGAAAATAAGAATCAAGGAAGGCAATAAAACCTAAACAATACAAACTTAATAAGGATGCAGAAACAGAGATGTGGGGATTCATATACAAAATTTTGAAAGTGAAAGAACAAGTTGATGAAACTATTAAAATGCATACCGAAGTATAGCATAACAAGGCAAGAAAATTATGCTAATCCCCTTCACAAAACACTAGTTAGCATATTGTAGGTAGGATAATCAAAAGAGATGTGTTAGAATAATACCACAAATATGGAACCTCAGTTATATGGAAAGACTAGAGAAACTGGGGTTGTTTTCTTTGGAGCAGCAAAAGTTAAGTGGTAACTTAATAGAGATGTCCAAAGTTATCACAGGTTTTGCTACAATAAGTAAAGGGAAGTAGTTTCTACTGACAAATAGGTTTGTACCCAGTAGACCTTTTAACTAAATGATCTCTAGTAAGATAAAATGATAAGAGGAATGTGTTCTTGTGCAGTAAGTTGTTATAGTCTGGAGTGCATTGCCTGATTGGATGATGGAAGCAGATTGAAAGGAACTTTCAAAAGGAATTTGGATGCTTATAAGAAAAAGAAGAATTTGCAGTGCTATGGGAAAGGATTTGCAAGTTGGACTAATCAGATTGCTTTTACAATAAGCTGTTCCAGTACATTTACAACAATGACACCTACCCAGTTATTTCCCAGTTATATCCTGTAGGAAAATGTTAAACAAATCCAATCCAGTCAAATACCACTCTATCAGATTATTTTTGATCATAACAAAAGTGATGGAAGGGATCATCAACAGCATGATTAAGCTGCATTTGATAGCTATAATTTGCTGACTAAACACTCAGTTTGGATTCTCCCAGGGCCACTCAGCTCCTTACCTCATTACAGCCTTAACATGGATTTAAATAATCTGAAATACAGAAATTAGTTGAGAATGACTGTCTTTATTATCGACGTCACATTTGACCAAATATGGCATCAAGAAATCCTAGCAAAACTAGGGTCAATGTGAATTGGAGAAAACTCTCCATTGGTACTGAGTACAAAGGATGATGGTTGTGGTTGTTGGAGGTCAGTTATCTTGGCTCCAGGGCACCTCTGTAGTATTAGGGGCATACCTACACCAAATGGACTGTAGAGTAGTTCAAGAAGGAAGTTCAAAACAACCCTCTTACCTCAGCATGAGCAATAAATGCTGGCTCTGCCAGAGATGCCCACATCCCATGAATGAATAAAGAAAGACAGCCGTGCACATAGATTAAATTATCACCTCTATTGCTGTAAATTTCTGTGTTTCTTTGACTCTGATAAATCAATGACAAGAGAAATCATTACAATAGGTAGCAGTCTACTCAGGCAGGGAGGGCATATCCAAGACTTTTGATAAGATATTCGTTGTCACTCACTGACATTGACAATGGGAAACAATGCAATTAGGTTGGTCATTGATTTTACAAAATATCCAATTTCACTTTGCTTTAAAATTAATTTTCCTGCTAGATGGATTAGGTTATAATTATCCCACATATGCCTATATCTGAAGTGAGATTAGAAGGTGGAGAAGGAGGGCTCTTATGCTGCAGTGAGCCGACCTCTGAGCCAGGTGACCTGGGCTCAGTCCCATCCTGCTCCAGAGATGTGTTGTAAAATCTCATCTCTGAAGAGATCGATTAGGAAAATATCTATAAGTCCAAAGAACGTGCTAAACTGCGAAATATAAAATACGTAGAAGATGGGGTCCAACTGGATTACTGTGTGAAGAGCTCATGTAGCCTCATTTTCACATCATATCTTCTATCCTTAGTTTTGTCGAATGCTTTGATTTGCTGCTGTGTATAAGCTATGTAAAACTATGTAAAAACATTTACAGCATTTGGGGAGACATGGAAGCTTAGGTGTTGAAACATAATGACTTCTCTAATATTGAAGATTCCAGGTTATAAAAACCAAAGTTTTAACAATGGCATATTTAATGGCTGGCGTATTTGGGAAATAGTGATGGAAAATTGCAACAAAATTTTATCACAGAAATTAAGAGGATTAGCAGGAGGTTTAAGATGCCTAATAAGAAATGTAACGTAAGAAGAGCCATCCCAGACTCAAAATTTTAACACTGTTTCTGTCTCCAGAGATACTGCCAGACCTACTGAGTTTCTCCAGCATTCTCTGTGTTTATTTCAGATTTTTAATGTACTATTGTTGATTGCAGAATCCCAGAAATGTCAATGCAGGAGGATGTCATTTAACCCAGCAGCACCATCTCCATGCCAAAGTTATTTGTACACAACCTATTTACAAAGTATGGCATATGGATTTTGCCTTAAAATGTACTGTGCACAAATGACTATTCATAAATTTAAATACTCAAGTTGTGATATGCTGATTGAGGAGTTTACGAAATTTAGTTTGAGACTGAGATATAAATAACATGTAAAGCAGGTTCTAACACAATACAAAAATACCAGAGCAATAGCTGAGCCTAACCTGACACAAACTGTGTCAAATATTCAAACCACTGACGTATAGTGGAATCTCCATGAATATGAACATTTTTTCCGCGGAGGCAGTCTGTGATACTTGCAGGAGTGTCAAAACGTCGGGTGTTACAGCTTGTTGACATCCACTGGTCCTGATAATAAAATCCAGAAGGTGAAAGCAGAGGCTTGCCAGGGACACAGTCTCCGAGATCTTTGCCTGAGAATTGAAAAGGCAAGGCTAAAACATAAGCTAAGACAGGTGAACACTGATACAGTCCTTAAACATCTCTCAGTAGAGAATGAGAAAAATATTACATTTAAGACTAAAGACTTTTCCTTGGAAATTCTCAACTGCCTCAGTATTTTGCATTTAAAGTGATAGGTAACAATGACTCATTAGTAACAATATGTTCAATAAAAGTGCTGGCAGGAATTTTCTGAACTCTTCCCACGTTTTAAGAAAAGCTTATTGGGAAATCTTAGAGACCACACAATAATTTCACAGCCTGTTGTAGGGAAGCTCAAATTAGGAAATCTGATCACTGGAGTAATTGTTTACTTCTTAGGGACTGCTTAAACAAAACATGCCAAAAGACGTACATGTTAAGACAAATTGCTTATTTTAAAGTCAGGCGTGTATTTCACAAAAGGGTCCTTTTGTTTTTCAATCTTCTGCTTGACACTTTAGCTCCATCTTTAGTGGCTTGCCACCACCTACTCCCAGTCACATTCTACTGTGGGATCACTTCCACTCCAGGGAAACTGCCTGATCTGAAGCATTCAAACACAGTCATAGTGTCACTTTTTTGAAGAAGGCCACTTGCCCTACTGAGCCCATCCAGCTCCCCACAAAGCATTCCAGTCAGTCCCACATTTTAGCCCTGGATGAAGAAGTCTGGTTCACCATCGCTTCATTGACTGAGAGGGATTGAGGGTTTTTGGTCCCATTGTATTTTATTGAGGTAACAAGTGGATAATGAGAAAAGTATGGAGGCAGAAGGTAGTACAAAATTCTTTCTCACGTAACCCCTTGTCAATTTGCCCAAAACCCTAAATCTGTGTCTCCTAGTTCTTTGTCAGTTAATATGGACAGCCTTTATCTACCATATCTAAACTTGTCATAACCTTGTACATCTCTATCAAATCTCTCTTCAATTTTCTTTGCTCCAAGGAGAACAATCCTAATTTCTCCACCCTCATTCTCAGAACAATTCTGGTAAACCTACTCTGCACCTTTTTAAAGAACATGCTTTTTCTTTTTCTCATTCCCTCTGAAATGTACTCTTGATTATTCACTTGGTCACGTTGCAGCCACAATTCAGTAAAGCCTAACCTAACCTATTTATTTCCATACTTTCAATGAATGTGCCATCAATTCATCTATCTTGCTATGAATGAATTCAGATGAAAGAGCCTTTCATTCTTTTTTTTTTACCATTTTCTCTATTTTGACACAAAGTGTTGGTTTGCACTTTCCTAATATTAGTCTGGCTGGATGATGCTTCCAGAACTTTATATCTTTCAAATTTCTAATAAAAACATAAAGCCAAACATATTAACATTCATCAGTTGTGAAAATTGTTTTTAGCATGGATTCATTTTAAAAATATATATATATCTAGATATGGTATGTGATTAAATTAAATTCAATAAAAGTCCAAAGATGCGCAGGCTAGGTGGATTGGCCATGCTAAATTGCTCATAGTGTTCGGGGATTGTGCAGGTTAGATGGGTTATAGGGGGATGGGTCTGGGTGGGATGGTCTGAGAGTTGGTGTGGACTTGTTGGTCGAAGGGCCTGTTTCCACACTGTAGGACTTCTTTGAAAATATTCAAGTTAAGGAAAAGGACGAAATAATGGACTCAATTTAATTTACAATATGAGAAGTTTGCTACTTTTTAAATGTTGCTGTCTTTGCCTTCCGGTTTATGCAACTGTATGTAATAACCTTGAATCAGAGCCAAGAAAAAGGTTAAATCATATAGGAACAAGTGGATACCAATTTTAATAAAGGAAAGAAATATAAATCTGAAAGTCAGATGGGACCATGGATTGATACAAATCTGAGGGTTTGCATCTGTGTATTGCATCAGGAAATGCGTAAGAAGATTGATATTATTTTGGATTATTCCCATTGGTAATGTTGTCATAAGTCATTATAAGACCAGTGGAATGTTTAAAGTGACTCAACTTATTGCAGGTTAATGTATAGTTTTTAAACTGTCAGATGATATAGAACAGAGGTAGGGTGTCTGGAAAACCCCAGGTAAACTAGTACTGAAGTTGGGATGGATTGTAGAGCTCCTTGTTATAATGTTATTTCATTCTAGATGGGGAAAACTTCTAAATCCAATGTACAGTCCAATTGATAGAGCTCAAAAAGAACTCATTCTCAAACAGAGGAAGTTCATGTATTATGGATCACTGATAAATATTTTGGTGAAGAAAATTCTTCCAGCACTATCCAAAATGATTAACATTTGAGATAAAATATTGGTACCTGCTGGGATTCATCTATTATAGACATTTAAATAAATATTTCTCTCTAAAATGATATCATGTGGCAGTTGAAACTTTTGTCCATTCAATAAAGCTCCTTTCTTAAATGTTATCTCTATATTCCATCACAACACTTTTTCTGAAGTGCAATATTACTTACAGCAGCAAAATGTCACTGCTATCTTTGGTCACCATAGCATCATTGAATGATCACAGAGGAAGACTATTCAACCTGCTAGGTCTGTACTAGTTCTCTGAAGGAATAATTCACTTGGAGACACTTCACACCCTTTGACAAAATGCTGCCCATTTTTCATGGTCAGATAATTGAATTAAGATCCCTCTTAAATTCCTCAGTTGAACCATCTCCTTTACACTCACAGGCAGTACATTCAAGATTCTAACTACTCATTGATTAAAATAGTTCTTCCTGTGTCACTTTGTTTCTTTTGCCAATGACCTTAAATTTGTGAATTCTGATTCTTGACATTTTCACCAATAGGATCAATTTCTCTCGATATATTCTATCCAGACCCCTCATGATTTTGAATAGCACTACCAAACCTCCTCTCAACATTTTTTTCTTCAAGGAGAACAGTCCCAACCTCTTCATTATCCATAAAACTAAAGTTCCTCATCCCAGGAACGATTCTTATAAATCTTTTCGGCATTCTGTCTAACATCTTCGGATCCTTCCTGAAGAGTAGAGCTTGAAACTAAATACAGTACTCAAGGCAAGGACAAAGCAATGTGTTATACAGTTTTTGCTTTTGTACTCCATGCCATAGGCTTTATTAAACAGTCACTCAATCTGTTCTGCCACTTTCAATGATTTCATGCCATTAAGAAATATTTCTTCCTCTTTTCAAAACCTTGGAGTGTCTTCAGATTTAGGAAAGACGCCTTCATAAAAGTCACCACAGTCTTGCCAGATCGCAGGGCTGCTCACTCATTAGAGAAATATACTGCTTGTGGTTTAACCTGAAGGTGACCATGCCTCAGGTAAAGGGAGGGTTTGAGGACAGTACTTATGATAATGTCAGCCAGTGGAGGAACTGAACTCACTGTTGGCATACAGTGCAAATTAGCTATCCAGCCAACTGAGCTATCTTCATAGGCTTTTGTTAAACAATAACCTACATTTATTAAATCCCTACAGGAGTGGTTAAATCTAAGACAATGGCCCAAATCTTCTGATCTGGGTCAGAATCACTATTTCTAACCCAGATCAGACAACTAATTGTCCACTTACATTTATAATCTTGCAGTTTCTAGTCTTACGAATCTGTTTTGTAAGTAAGGAACTTAACTAACAGAAATAATTATTCCTGAAATTAGTAAACAGACATAAATTGGCTAAGTTAGAAGGAACCCAGGGTGCGAGCAACTTCACCACACTGCATCTCTTCTCCTGCTCAAGTAATGCATTCTCCTTCTGTTTAGAAACGTAAATCGATCATGGAACGCACAAACAAGAACAGGATAATCAACCCGGATATGGATGGTTCTGGCTTGAACGGTTGTGGGGTGGGGAGTCATAAAAATATAAGTCTAATCTGTATTGGGAACACAATATTTTACAGCTGGATGAATACACTGGAAACACTTGCTGCTAAGAAACTTGTCTACTGAGAAGACAATTATTTATGGAATGTTTTCAGTTTTCTGCAATAGATGTTGTAATGTAATCCATGGTTTAAAAGCTTGTACTTTTTGAGACCAAACCTAATTAAGAAACAAAACTGACCTTTCCAGTTCCTAAGCAAATGAAAAGTGAAACTGAGACTGGGGGTCAAAAATTCTGAAGATACTGAAACCACAAGAAAAGAACAGATCCATCAGAGATCAGGTGAAGATGATTCCAATGAGGCAGTACAAACAGGCTGAAGAGACTATATCCAAAGGCTGAGATTAGGCAAATATCCAGTGGCTGCAGCTTTTTCGTTACTTGAGGATGCCTTTGGTGAAAATACACCATCCACAACATTCTAAGCAGAATTGAGGAGGATCTGTTAATATGCGCCATGTTTTAGCTCAGACCATGCTGGGGGAATCCAGGTTTATCATATGCTGCTGCGGGCAGGGTATCCCTCTCCTAGAAAGTCCCAGAAAGACAGGAGCTGAAATTCTCCATGAGGAAAACAGAGTCTGAAGGGCTTTATGACTAAGATTGATGACGCATATACTGAATGGACTGCTGAGCCAATTTGTAAGATTAGTCTTGGTGTATCTGCAATTTAATGTGCAAGTGTACTTTATAATCAACCACAATTTGCCTGTTAATTCATGTTTTGACTTATGTTGATTCTGAGGTTTAGAGTACAAGACATAAATTAAGATTGGAATTAGCATTCCCTTGTTTTGACTCATTTAAACTAAAAATTCTTCTGGTTTAAACTTCAGAATCACTTGGCTTAATTTTTTCATGAAATTAACAAGAATTTAGAAGTTACTGATTTCTACTGACGCTAGTACCATGTATCAACTAGTTACAATGAAAGACATCCTGATCTTTATATGATTCTTTGTTCCTCTGTTTTAAAGCAATGCTTGCTCTAGTTCATGAAAAGCCATTCAGACTTTTGTATTTTTTACATTGTTCTATACGTTTCAATTTTCATCATGTTAATTTTAAATGTTTTATGAATTTCTCCCTACCTCAGTTCTTTTCCTATGACAGTAATATGGTGTTCCAAACTGCCTAGCCAGAAAAAGTATTTTCTCAGAATGTTCTTTGTCAAACCCTTTAGGCATGTTTAAGGGGGTGTACTTGCAGGTGGGTGAAGGTATACAGTGTCAGGGTAGTGAGTGAGAGGGTAGATTGGGTGTGGCATTCAGTGGGTGTGCAGGGAGGGGATTGGGTGTGGGATGGTTCCGATCTGGGTGTAAGGGCAATGGTTGGGTGCTAGATATTGGGGCAGTAGTCAGGGTGCTGTCAGATGTTGTGGATGTGGGTTTTGGTGCCCTAGATGGCTGGAAGTTGAGCAGGGGTTGATCAGGTGATGGGGAAATGGTAAGGGTGTGGGGAAGTTCAGCGCCGGCTTTAAGTGTGATTGGGTGTTAGTCTGGTCAGTGTGAGAGATTGGGGTCATGGTGGTTGGTTACCTCAGTTGGCTGGACAGCTGGCTTGTGATGCTGATTGATGCTAACAGTGTGGGTTCAATTCCTACACTGGGTGAGCTCAATGTGAGGGTCCTGCCTTCTTGACCTCATCCCCACCATGGGCACAGTGACCCTCAGGTTAAACATACTGCCTGAAGACTCCTACTTTATTCTTAATCATGTAGCCCTTTTTGTAACAAAAGCTAACATACCACTTAGCTTGCTAATTTTCCAATCGCTCGCCATTCCAAAATTATTCTTAGGTTTCATTTTCTACTGACCCAACCCAGCTATGTCTTTGTGCCATCTCTTTGCATTCCCCTCCCATTTACTTTCCAATTTAACATTAAAACATCAGCAAAACTGAACAGGTTATATTCAGTCCCATTCCTAATACTTCACTATGGTGTATGTGTAGCTGTGGTTCAGGTACAGATCCTTGCTGTATAGAGTTAGTTACAGCCTGCCAATCCAAAAATACTCATTTATTCTTCCTCACAGCTTTCTGCCCGTTAACTGATCCATGCCAATTAATTACCACTCAATTGAATGAGTCTTAGCCCATCTATAAACGTCTCGAATTCTACACTTTTTTCTACACTTTCTTTTGATAATATACATTATATTCTTTTTCTGATGAAGGGTCTAGGCCCGAAACGTCAGCCTCTCTGCTCCTATGATGCTGCTTGGCCTGCTGTGTTCATCCAGCCCTGCACCTTGTTGTCCCACATTATATTCTTATCTGTTTCTATTCCAATTCACCTCAGTTGTAAACAAGTTTAGATGACAGCTCTGAAGTTCATGTAGTTATCTAATTTAACAACATTCAGCAGAAGATTTCGACCATTTGAACAGCCTAACTTCAGCAAGATTTTGTCCACAGGCAACGTTGTGACGTCCAGATCGATGTCTCCGCTCCCCCGACCCACCCCACCCACACCCCCTGACCCCCGATGCAATGTATGATTTGATGGGATTATATCCAGTCAAATCCCGAGTTCAATAATTATTGAATCTTCTTTAAATTCAACCTGTTCTGATGTGTTATTACGCGGCTCTGGTGCAGGTGAGGTTCAAACTCACGCCTTCTGGATCAGAAGCAGGAGCATTACCAATGCAGCACAAGAGCCTCTGTGTCTGATTCTGACATTACAGAATGCAAATGAAATCAAAGTTTGGTGGGACGCTTGCCTTCCATATCAAGTCAATTATTGGCTGGGCTTTAGTGCTCTGTGTACTAACTGCTATAGCAGGAAGCTTCAGTGACAATTAACTCACTGCCCCCACCAGTGAGAAAGCTCACTTGACTGAACACTAATTAGGTACTGTGCGGATCTGTTCTTCACCTTTCCGGCTGCTGGTAGAATGTCATAACAACAGGAAGAAAGTAGGCACTCCGTCTATTACTTCGCCTTTTCATCTTACCAAACTCCCATGCCACGCTGTCCCTAGAGGCCTGGTTAAATCGAGCTCATTGCATGGAATGCTGTAGGGATTCCACAGTAACAATAGATGTATTGTAACCGTAGCAGTATTACTCAAATGAATACAAACTTGTCGAAGTAAAAAAGATTTGTCGGAGAACAAACCTATTCACACTAAACGAGAAGAGTATACAAGAAGATTAAGCTCGGTAGATAATAAATGAGGCAATTCATTAAATTATACTTAAACAAGAGACCAGAAATGTTTGAATGTTGGCAAAGAACTACCTCCTGTTCCATCTAATATCTGATACTGTCTATCTGCTCATCAGCACAATATTTATACTTCTCTTACCTGTATGAGGTGAAGGCTTTACAGTTACATAATTCAGGCCACTGGGCAATATGCGTTTCTTGACATTGACTCCACTGAAATATATTATTGTTATTATTGCATGTTAAGTTACTGTTACATCTTCATGAAAAAATGATTATCATGTACGATTTAAAAGTACAATTTAACTTGTTCCATTCCTCAGTAATCTAAAACATAAAGGTTTGGTTTAAAATTATTTTCATAGAATGGCTTCAGATATCACTCAAGTTCTTGGCTGGTCCAAAT